GAAATGTATGCCTTCTAAAAATGGGCTGCCCTTGGGAAGCCTGCATGAGACCCCCCTATGTACGTGTGAGTGCTGTGTCAGCCTAGGCCTCCAGCTGCTGGTGCCTCTTTGTGTCTGTCCCTGGTGCTGTCCCTGGAGCAATGTTTGTTCACTTTTGATTTGGAAATGAGAGCACTGGGTCACCTAGATCAATGGTTTTCAAACTTATTTTGGCTACAGTTTTTTGTTACCCAGGATCTTATATGATAGTCATCTTGTACATAGTAAGGATAAAACACAACTAGGTGTGCAATGTTATTTAGTAGTTCTTTTTACGTAAAAAGAACAGCTATTGTCTATTTTATTAACTTTATTCTTGTGTGTAGGTCAGTTACAAATACTGTTTTCTCATATTTATAGGATCAAGTTAAACTTTTTTTATTGGTGAAGTAGCTGACTATTCTTAGTGTGATTTTGAGTGGGTCTTGAAGTGGGAAGACACCTGTTGGCACATGGAATGTACTCAGTAAATATTTGTTAAGAACACACACAAACCTGCTAATGTGCCAGAGAATTAAAATACTCCTCCTTTGAGACATTTCTTTCAGTTAATTTACTATATATCCAGAAGGCCCCTGTGATAACATGCAAATAGTGTAGCCAGGGACCAATATTAAGGCATTAGCATCAAAGTTTGTATTATTTATCCAGTGAGCAATCACTTTGTAGCAGAGATTCTATAAATATTGGAGGGCTTAGAGAAGCAAAAGGGCAGAGGAGGAAGCATCACTGAGTCTTTCCCTTCCCAACTTGACTTTGTTTGGAAGATTTGTTATTCATACATATAAGTATTTATTCAGTAACTACTGTAAGTATAAGGAAAAGCACTTCTAAATATGGCAAATGATACAGATATTAATAAGACGTAGTAGATCCTGCCTTCAAGGAGTTTACAATCGACTAACATAGGGAAGGCAGATATTTAAATGCCTCTAACATAAAAAGGAGAGTGATTGGTGCCATAAGAAAAATATAAACAAGAAGCAAATTATTTTAAAGGTGGGGAATATTTTTCCAGGCTGGTAGATACCCACATTACAATTTCCAATTAAAAGACACGGAGAGAGAAAACTACTTATTTCTGTAGTTTGAGCCATCAGATGGTTTCATAACCTCCTGCTTTTATTTTTTATCTACTTACATGTCCGTTCTTTCTGCTGAGCTGTAATGTTCTTCATAGCAGGGTATAGCTTACTCTGTGTTTCCCAAGTCCCTAACTGTTCCTGACTCATAAAATGCATTGGATAAATATTTGTTCAGTGTGTGTGTGTCACTGATAATCAGACTTGCTTTTTAATAAGAAATATTCTATTCTGTTACAACACGTATTCCACAAATAAACTCCGCACAATTAAAAAGTACAGTTTTCTCCTCAGGAACAACATTTTAAAAGGACAGCTTTTGTAAGATTACACAAAATTTGCACCATAAAGAAAGCTTATCTTAGGAAAGATTAAATCTGAAATCTATAAACCTGAGTTAAAGGCAGAAGCATCTCCACCATTCTCCCCAGTTATACTGGTTGTGGTAAGATGTTTTATGATATATGAATGATGAGACCAGGACTTCAGTGAAAGTGAGTTATAAATAATATTTATATTTCAATTGTAAGTGAATGATAAATCACACATAATCTTTTTTTAAATATTCACTAAAATTCTGAATAGAAAATATTGTTCATATTCAGCACTAAATAAACTTTAAGGTTCTTGAAGCTTTGAAACATTTTTAATTGTATGATTATTTATGGGAAGGAGTATCATAATTATAATCATCTTTTTATGTACTTTTTTCTGCGTACTTATAGCAGCGTCATTATCTTAGAATGTAAAGTCTTTGAGGCAGTACCTTTAAGTCATGTATGAGGCAACGGCTTGGGTTGGGGTAAGAGTACTGTACTAAATTTAATAAATTACAGTAACCAGTAACTAACAGACTATTGAGAGATATATACCATCATTGTAGAGTAGATTAAAATGATGCGCGTTTATTTGTCTCATATACCAAAAGTCTGGAAGCAGGCAGCTGAAGACTTGTCAGCAGCTCAACATTGTCACTAGAGAGGTTCAGGTTCTTTTTTCTTCTCGTGTTTCCATACTTACTGAATGGGTTTTCATCCTCATGATTGAAAATTGCTACAGCACCTTCTGTATCTCGCTGTGTCCAAGTAGAAGGAAGGTAGGAGGACAAGAGCTTTCTCCTCTTAAAACTTTATATATTTATCTTTTTATTTGTAATGGGAAACCTTCCCTAGGAACTTCCTACATCTCCTTGGCCAGAACTATATCATATAAACACTTGTAGCTGCAAGGTGGCTAGTGAAGAAGGGAGTTGTGGATAGTATTTAGCATAGCCAAGCAACAGTATCTGCAGTTATTCCTTTTCTGTTTACCTTTTGAGCTATAGAACCTTAAAGTTCCAAAGAAAAGGTCAAGTTATTTATGAATGGAGATATAGTATTCTAAGAAGTCTCTTTTTTGTCAGTAAATGATTAATTTATTAATTCAACAAATATTTCATTTTTATTACCTAATATGGTCCAGATACTGTTCTAAGTATTGGGAATAACAACACTGAACAAAAAGATAAAGTTGTTGCTCTCATGGAGCTTACATTGTCCTTAGAAGGCTAAAACACAAATAAATATAAGTATATATTATAAATATTCATATATATATATATACACACATACATATATACATATATTCAGATATATGTACATATCTATAAAGAAAAGTAAAGTAGGGTAAGGAGAATAGTTACGATAGGTAATATTCTATACTAGAGGCCTGGTGCATGAAATTCGTGCACTCGGTGTCTGTGTGTGTGGGGAGTGCAGCCACCACCGCTGCACTCGCCAGCCGTGAGCCCAGCTTCTGGCTGAGCAGCACTCCCCCTGTGGGAGCACACTGACCACCAGGGAGCAGCTCCTGCATTGAGCATCTGCCCCCTGGTGATCAGTGTACGTCATAGCAAGTGGTTGAGCGACCTTAGCTTATCATTAGCATATTACACTTTGATTGGTTGAATGGCCAAGTGGACAACCGGACACTTAGTATATTAGGCTTTTATTATATAGGATAGGATGTTTAACAAAGACCCTCTGATGAGGTGATATTTTAGCAAAGACCTGAAAGAAATGAAGAATCAATGGAGTCATATCTGGGGAAGAAAGGTCCAAGTTAAAAAACAACAACAACAGCAAATACAAAGGCCCTGAAAAGAGATGCATTTAGCATGCTCAAGGACAAACAAGAAACCAATATAGATAGAGCACAGAGAACAAGAGGGAAAATGATAGGTGAGCACAGTTGGGGCCATAATATGTTGGGCTTTGTAAGCCTTAGCAAAGCTTTTACTCTTAGTGAAATGGAAAGTCATTGGAGGGTGTGAGCAGAGATTAGTACAATCTAATTCACAATTTAAAAGGATTACTATAACTACTTTGTGGAGTATAAATTGTAGTGAACAAGGATAGAAACAGGGAGACCGGTTAGGAGGCTATTCAGTTTCCCAGAAAATAAGTGATAGTTTCAGCCATTGTGGCAGTAGTAGAGATGGTGAGTAATGATCAGATCCTAGAGGTATTTCAAAGGTAGTTTAGATATGGTTCTGACAAAAAGAAAAATCAAGGATGTCTCCAACGTTTTAGACTAATAACTGGAAGAACAGAGTTGCTATTTTCTGAGGACAGGAATTGTTTGGGTAGGCTAGGAGGGTGGGAAATCAAGAGTTTGATTTGGACAGTTTAGGCTTGAAATGCCTGTTACATATCCAAATGCATGTTGGATGATTTATGTTAGGAAATATATATATATTCTTATCCACTGCTATTTGCATGGCCTACAATCCTAGAGTCACCAGTAGAGGTTGGGATTAGAGATATAAAATTAGGAATTTTAGTGAATGGGTGACATTAATTTCATGAGACTAGATGAGGTTATATAGGGGGTAGCTAAGTAATAACCTTTTTCTATGACTTTTCAGAAGAAAGAAAATTTTCTATGAAATCCTAGATAAGATCAAGTTTGGGTATTGCATTTTACTAACTAGCACATTAAATGTTCAAAGTTTAGTGTAGTGATTAAGCACGTGGACTCTGAAGCCAGGCTACCTAGGCTTGAATTGTGGCTCTTCTGTGATTTAGACCAAAACATATAATCCCTCTACACCTCTCTTTCTTTATCTGTAAATAAGGATAATAATGATGCCTTCCTATAAGGTTCTTGTGATGAGTAAGTTAAATTAGACCAGTGCCATGGCAAATAGTAACATGCACAAAAGATTAGGCAGCCCAGCTGGTGTGGTACAGTGGTTGAACATCAACCTATGAACCAAGAGATCATGGTTCGATTCCCGATCAGGGCACATGCCCGGGCTGAAGGTTTAATCCCCAGTGTGGGGCATGTATGAGGCAGCTAGTCAATGATTCTGATCATTGATGTTTCTATCTCTCCCTCTCCCTTCTTCTCTGAAATCAATAAAAATATTTTTTTAAAAGAATTAGGCAAATGGGGGGGAGGGGGAGGAGACATATGTACTACTATTTGTAATACTTTAAACAATAAAAAAAAATTAAGAAATTTAAGAATTAAATAGTATGGTGAAAGCCAAGGGAGGGGGAGGGGAGTGGGTAGAGGTGGGAAAAGGAGGATAAAAGGGGGAATACCTGCAATAATGTCAATATTAAAAGTTTTTAATTAAAAAAAGACATTTAAGAAAAAAACAAAAAGAATTAGGCAGTATTATCTTTAAAGTTCACCATGTTTTGACACATGAGGTAATGTTAACTTGATGTAATGTTCCACCAAAGAAGGCTATATTTTGGCAAGAGAAAATTTCTCTCCTTGTATTCTTCATTTGGGTATATAAGAAACCGAGGGTTGTTGATATTTATGAGCCAGTCCCACTTTAATCAGTGTTTCCGCATCATATTCTTAGTTAATTATCTTCCTGTTTAGGTCACAGTGCTGTTGATATCACCAAGGTGGCTAGAAGACACCGCATGTCTCCTTTTCCTCTAACATCTATGGACAAAGCCTTCATCACAGTCCTGGAGATGACTCCGGTGCTTGGGACAGAAATCATCAACTACCGAGGTACTATAATATTTGTCCATTGCCTTTCACTTTTCTCCAAGTAAGATTCATAGAGCATTAATAAACAGTTTCCTGAAAGAAAAGGTTATTAATTATTATCACAGTTATTATCATTATTCTTTTAAATTCTTATTTCTACTCAACTCTACGATCAGCCTTAATTGTATATAGAGTAAAACATCTATAAAGCTTCCTTTTTCATAAAAATAAAAAAATGAATAAAGTAGCTGTGTTTCTCCTGTTCATCAAAATACTAATACTATAAACCAAAAAGAGGGCTGTTAGCACTGAGTGAGGAAAATAGTTAACTCTGAGTCTTCCTGATGTCCTTTCTGTTAGAAATGGAAGATAACTAAAGTGTCTTGTAATCATGTTTTCCTTTGTGGAAAATATGTTTTTAAATGTAAAAACTACATTAAATGATCCATGGATCACTGGACAACCAGACTGATCTCAGTTTTTGTGCTTCGTCTATCTTCTTATTCTCTGCCCTTTAGTTCAGTAGCACATTGAGACCAGTTTGTGGAAGGACAATGGAAAGGTGGTGTCCCCAGTGTTTTCACTTTTTAATCAACCCCCTTCTTAAAAATTCAGCATGAAAGTTATATTTAGTGCAATCTCAATAAAATACAGTTTCTTAGTTATTTTTGTTATGCAGATAAAAACAACACAATAGGATTGATTTTAAAAAATACTTTATTCATAGATCATAAAATATTCTAACTTCAATGAACATTAGAGAGCATCTATACAAACACCCTAATTTTTCTGCAAGGCAGTTCAGACTCAGAACAGCTGAAAAGGAATAAGACTAAGGCTCAAGATTCCATTCTTTTTACTACATGACAGACCTCGGCTAGAGTGGCTTGGTGGTTGAGCATCAACTTATGAACTAGGAGGTCACGACTAGATTCCCAGTGAGGGCATATGCCAGGATGTGGGCTTAATCCCCAGTGGGGAGCGTGCAAGAAGTAGCTGATCAATGGTTCTCTTTCATCATTGATGTTTCTTTTTTTTTTTTTTTTTTTTTGGGGGGGGGGGGTTTATTGCTTAAAGTATTACAAAGGGTATTACATATGTGTCCATTTTATCCCCCCGCCCTAGACAGTCCCCTAGCCTCCCCTATCCCCCAATGTCTTATGTCCACTGGTTATGCTTCTATGCATGCATACAAGTCCTTTAGTTGATCTCTTACCCCCCTACCTCCTGCCCCGCAACCCTCCCCGGCCTTCCTGCTGCAGTTTGACAATCTGTTTGAGGCAGCTCTGCCTCTGTATCTATTATTGTTCAAAAGTTTATAATGGTCTCTATTATCCATGAATGAGTGAGATCATGTGGTATTTTTCCTTCATTGACTGGCTTATTTCACTTAGCATAATGCTCTCCAGTTCCATCCATGACGTTGCAAATGGTATCTCTCCCTCTCTCTTCCTTTCTGAAATCAATAAAAATATTTATTTTTTAAAATAACGATAGGTAACCAAACAAATTATGTTAAAATTAAGAGGCCTAATACTAGTGAAATTCTAAATGCCAGATTCTAGCTCTGTTCACTGATGGTACTTAGACAAAAATTCTTTTTATATAATTCACCCTAATCCTATATCTCTGACTTGCGTTCTTTTAAATATGTATATCAGTAGGCTTAAACTTTTGGTTTATTATTAATCCTCATTAAAGGATCTAAAGATTAGAAGCTCACTAGAGTAAGGAATTAGTTAGGAATTAATTAACTAAGTGTTTTCAAAATCAATTTTAATGGGATAGGTTTTTGCTATTATTAAATGTAGAATATTCAGATATTTTTATATCCATCAACAGCAAGACATATTCAGAAAATATAAATGTAAACTTAAGTTGGAAAAAATTTTAAGTAATACTTTACCTATTAGAAACATAAATTAACCATCTCTGACCTTGGAATTTCACGGGAGTTTTCCCTAACAGCAGTTTTTAGAAAAATCTCAGAGTATGCCAAGTCATTTAAGCAGAAATTTTAGTCTTTTTAAGGAAGAAAAAAACAAAAACGGAATTGAAAGTGGCCATTTATAAGTTTCTTCTAGGGGAAAAAACAAACCAAAAAAAGCTGTCAGATGGAATCTCTTTTTTCTTCATGTGCTTGTTTCTCCTTCATTTGTTCATCAAATCAGTTGTCACTTATAAGTTAGCAAACTCTTCATGGATGGTTAAATTTCTTGTCAAGTGCTTCCACCCATGAAGATGAAGTGTGCATTCAACCTTTGAGTTAGATCAAACTCAATTTTTCATGCAAGAGAGTATTATAATTAAACCTCCTAGGGCCTAGGCACTTTAAGTAGGTGTTTAAAAAATATCATCATATATAGAAACATAATTCATTTTGTTCAATAAATATTTATTAAGCATCTACCAAATGGTAGGTACTATGTTAAGTCCTGGATAGACAAAGGTGAATAAAACACTTTTGCCCCATGGATCTCACGTATAGTGCAGAAGAGACAGGGAAACAATGAGATAATTGTCTCCTTTATTGGCTTTTTTGTAGGCTTGCCTGCCTTTGTCCATTCCTTGAATATAAGCTTTCTTTAGCATTTTCGTTTTTGGTCCTTTTCACATCTTGCACATGCACTTCAAATAACCTCATGCATGCCAATGATTTCAAATGCTAGCTATTAAATGATTTCTAAATCCATATCACTTGCCCAGACCTTGCCTGAGCTCTAGACTTATACACCAAATGTAATGATGCTGCTAGTAAATATTTAAATATGTTTCTATTATTTTAGAGAGAGAGAGACGGAGAGGGATAGAGAAATAGAAACATCAGTGAGAGAGAAACATCTATCAGCCACCTCCTGCACACCCCACACTTGAGATCAAACCTGAAACCCAGGCATTTGCCCTGACTAGGAATCAAACCGTGACCTCTTGGTTCATGGGACGACGCTCAACACTGAGCCACACTGGCAGGGCTTGCTGCTAGTAAATTTAACATGGCCAAAACTAAACTTATATTCTTTACCTCTACAATACTTGCTGTTTCTACGTCCTCTTGAATCCATCCCTTGTTTTCTATTCCCAAAGCTATAATTTTGATTTAGGTCTTTATTATTAACTTCATGGATTATTGTTTAATAGAATATTAAAAATTATCCTTCTAAAGCAAGTGCCTAGATGTCCATGTATGTATTGTTTGTTTGTTTGTTTTCATCTGGTTTAGCTATAAATGCATTTCTACTATTCTCAGCTTCTACTTGCAAACAAGGCCTTTAAGGAACAAGCGCTCTATTGATTATAAATATCTTCCTTTGGTTTCTTGTGAGAGGCATACCTGGGATAACAACAGGGGATAATATATGTAAGACTGCCACTTCTGATTCGTTTTCTTTGCTTATGAAATGCTTTGCATGAATAAATTACAGCTTCACATTTGGTATTGTACTAGCTACTGTAAAGCAGGTTAAAATATTCTGGCACCATTCGCTGTAATTCCCCGTCTCTTTTAGTTAACAATGGAAAAACTATGAGCTTTCAATAGAAAGGTTATGTTTTCTTAGGATATTATTTTAGATCACTAGCTCTAGGCTTTCTTATTCAAGATTAAATGATCGCAGACTTTAGCATCTCTAACCTTGGATCTTTGTTTTTCCAGAAAACACTTAAGTAATTCGAGTCAAGGAAACGTTAAGCTTTGATGTTGGAACTCACTTGGAAGCAGTGGTCTCTTTTAGAATACTGACCACAGCAGAGGTATTTCTCCCTGTCTCTGACTTACAGTTAGATAATTGCCTGAAAGTAGGCAGAAATTACTGCCTCTAGAAGAAATTCAGAAGCTCTTGATTTCAAACAGTAGGAGGTCCTCACCAAAATGGTTCACAGCTCATGCTAGGAATTCATTAATTCCTCTTGAGGATTCAGGGGCTGTCAGAAAATAATGAAAAGGCAAGTAAGGTATACCAGCAGGAACTTGCCATCAAATATACTCTTTACCTTGCTTCACTTTTAACTAGCTGAGAGACCTTGGGCAAGCTACATAACCCTTCTGAGTCTTATTTCTCTCATACATAAAAATAGGAATAATTTCTACCCAATAAGATCATTGTGAGATATTATTAAAGGAAATAATATATGTAAATCATCTAGTTTGCACCAAGCTGCCATATTTCAAATTTAGTAAATGATTGATTCCCTTCCCTTCTCCACGTGGGGATTCTGAGATCATAGCCCTGATATAAGCACCTATAAATTACAGTGTCAACGCTAGATCCCTTGGCTCAGCTCCATTTGTTGATCCACATGAACTGTTTCTGGATCCCTATGCATTTTGTTGTAGTCAAATTTACATTACCTACTAGGTCATTCAGGCATGTGCTCCCTTTCCCATTAGGAAATGTAACCTAAACAGCAGTTTTTGCAGTTTTTGAGCTTATTTCTGATTGAGCTTTACAAAATTGAAGCAGAGAATTTGGGTAGTTATTTAAATGTTTCAAGTGAAAGCATATGTTTATTATCTAAGCAAGAGGCTCATTGCATGAAGATTCATGCAAAAGGCCTTCCTTCCCCTGGCTGCTGGCATCTATTTTCCTCCGGCACCCAGGACCCAGGCCTTTGGTCCAGCCGCAGCGGAGAAGCCAAGTCTCTAGGCCCGCCCCGCCTCCCCGGGTTCCTGGCAACCCAGGCCCCCAGCCCCTCCTTGAGCGGCAGCCAGGGCCAGCTGGAAGCCTGGGTCGCCCCTGACCCATGCTCCCAGCCACTCCTTCAGCAGCGGCCAGGGCGGGCAGGAAGCTTGGCTTCCTCCATCACCAGAGGCAACCCAAGCCTCCAGCTCCGTGGCCGCCGCCATCTTTATTGGGTTAATTTGCATACTTGCCCTGATTGGTTGGTGGGCGTAGCAGAGGGATGGTCAATTTGCATGTTTCCCTTTTATTAGTGTGGATTACTGACTCCAGTCTAGTAAAGTTTCACCTAGGATGATCCCATTTGCTTGCAAATACCTCCTGGGGTGTTGGTCTGGGCTAGCA